AACATATTTATTATTTATAATATGAAGAGCATCTGTATTTATTTATGAGGACCTTCAAATGATTAAAATTCAATACTGCAATACAAAAGGGATTATTTTCCGAGGAGACGCTTCACCAAAACAATATTTTTCTAACCTTTGTCAACTCAATATAAGTTTGTGAATGGTGTTTGGATAAATAAATTACTGAATGAAGATAACATTACATTAAAAAACAATGATATCTTGGAACTTGAAGTTCATGTATTTGAGAAACAGCCATACAGGAGCTAATGAGAACATTTCAGGATTTAATGAGAACCAGATATCTCCAAATCATAGATGAATAGGCCACTAATGGTGATTTTTAAGAGAGGCTTGGATTTTGGTTATAACAAGTGTTATATTCAATTCTGTTTGATATAGTTAAATTTGATCTTTCTCAAAAGGGAGGGATAAGCCACCAGATGGCTAATTTAAACCTCTTTGAGTCCTTCCGGTCTATTAAATTACCATACCCTTTCACATTCTTCCCTAGAAAATAGTGGTCATTATGATGTTCAAGTTCTTTTGTAATGAGATCAAAACTTCTTCCATCAACCTCTGTGTGGATGAGCCTTCCAACACACTGGATTCTGCCTCCTGTCCTCATTGCTGATGGCGTATTCTTCCAGTGCGTCTTAGCCACACACTATTGTCAATACCAGAACCTACAAAATGATGAACTTAAAAAACAATTATTTAACTATACATGAGCTAATCTGGTCCCAGCTCACTTGCATAAGCATTATGTTGGAAACAATTAGATGTCTTCATTGAAACCTTCACTTGGGTTTATTCTATAGTTATTTACGTAACTCCCTACGTTGAACATGTAGCTCATTGACTTTCTGCCTTCCTTCTTGAAGATATTTAAGGCTACAAGTCCTCTTTGAATTTACTGCCTTCTTGCATCCCACAAGCTTTTCTACAGTTTGACTGTGATATACTTAGGTTTGTTTTGTTTTGTTGCATTTAACCTACTTGGAGTTTGCTGAACATATTGTATGTGTGTGGTTGTATTTTTTTTCCTTTCTAACAGCCTTATGGGATATGATTGACATACCACACAATTCATTCATTTAAAGTGTACAAGTCAATGTTTTTTAATATAGTCACAGGGTTATACAACCATCACAGTAATTTAATTTTAGAACATTTTTATACCCCCTAAAAGAAATCTTGCACCCCATTAACAGTTAGTGTCTAATATCCCCGTCCCCCCAGCCCTAAGCAACCACTAATCTATTTTCTGTCTTAATCAGTTTGCCTATTCTGAACATTTCATATAAATGGAATTATACAATACGTGATATTTTTTGTGACTGGCTTCTTTCACTTGGCATAATGAGGAACTGTCAAATTGTTTTCCAAGGGGGCTATATCATTTTGAATTCCCACCAGTAATTTGTGAGGGTTCCAATTTCTCCACATGTTCACCAACACTTTTTATTGTCTGTTTTCTTTTTTTTAATTATAGCCATCCTAATATATGGGAAGTGGCATCTCCTTGTAGTTGTAATTTGCATTTTCCTAATGACTAAAGATGTTGAGCATCTTTTCATGTTATTATTGCCCATTTGTATATCTTTGGAGAAATGTCTATTCAAATCCTTTGCCCATTTTTTAAAAAAGGGGATTGTCTTTTTGTTGTTGAGTTGTGAGAATTCTTTACATATTCTGGATATAAGTCCCTTATCAGGTATGTGATTTACAAATATTTTCTCCCATTCTCCTGATTGTTTTTTCACTTTCTTGACAACATTTTGCTAGCAACACAAAAGTCTTCACTTTCTATAGTTCAATTTATCTATTTTTTCTTGTGTCATTTATGCTTTGCTTTTGTGTCATATCTAAGGAATTATTAGTTAAGCCAAGGTGACTAAGATTTACTCCTGCTTTTTTTCTTGTATGAGTTTTATAGTTTTAACTCTTACATTTAGGTCTATGATCTGTTTTGAGTTAATTTTTCATATGTGGTTTTTTTGTCTTTTATTACTTTTGTAAAATTCTTGGCTATCATCTCCTCAAATATTTCTTCTCCTTCATTCTCTCCTCTTTTTCTAGGACTCCGGTTACACCTATCCTGGATTTATTCACTGTGCACATGCCTTTTAAGCTCTGTTTTTTCCATTCATTCTTCTCTCTGTGCTTTAGTTTGGGTATTTTCTTGACTGTCCCCACATTTACTAATCCTCTGTTTTGCTGTGTCTGGTCTGCTATTAAACTCACCCATTGTGTTCTTGCTTTCAGATAATATATTTGTCAATTCAAGGTTTCCATTTGTTCTTTTTTAGGAATTCCAATTCCCAGTTAAAATTCTGTACCTTTTAAATCATTTTGTCCACCTTTTCTTCTATTTTATAATCTATTGCTTTATTTTATAATAGTTATTTTAAAGTTCTTATCTGGACTTTAATATCTGGCTTACCTGTAGGTCTTCTATGATCTATTTTTCTCTTGAATATTGGTCAGATTTTCCTGTTCTTCTCATGTCTCTTATTTTTTTTTTTTTTTACCAGTGCCAGACTTTTATGTTAAAAACCCTATAGACAATATAGATGATATTTTCCTCTGGAGATGAAAATAGACAAGGCAAGGGTCTGATTACCTCTGTTCAATCATGGATGACCTAGGCTGGGATTGGGTTGCAGTCTTAGTGAGAATCAGTCCACTTCTGGTTTCTCTCTGTTCTTCATGTGTGATTCTTCTGGGCTTTTGATTAAGAGCCTGGGAGGTTCCATCTCCTCTGTCCTGGAGATGTAGTTCTATCTTTGAGAGGTATTAAACTTAGGTCTTTAGCTTCCCACTCACACAACTTCAGAAATATTGCAAATGTCTTGAGGGGGAAGAATGCCTGACTTCGAGCAGGCTCCTCCTTCTAGGTAGAATTAATTTTATACACATTGATAGAACATGGCATGATTTTACTCCACCTGTCAGGCCTGGCTGCCCAGCCTCTGTACTACCCCAGAACTGAGCAGATGTCCTGTGGGAAAACTAGCTGTATGTTTAGGGCTCCGCTGCATTTGTTGTATTGGTTCCTCTCCAATACAACTCACATGACAGTTAAATGTTTCACTGGTTTCTCTTTTTCTGTGTTAAGTTGCTCTGTCCAAGCCAAGCTTTATCAGCCCATGCCCAGAATCAGTAAATGTCACCAGGGAAGAAAACAGCTCACTTAGTCCAGAGCTCAGCAAAAGAAGATTTATTCAATGGCATTGTCTTTTTGCGGAGCAATGACTGAGTATGTGAAGATGCCAAACTAGAAATCTAAATATGAATATTACTGTGGTCTTTGTAGGGATCTGGACCAGCACGAACATCATCTTAGAGTAGACAAGTGTCATTGGAAATGGGCAGGATGAATCTTCAAGAGCAATACCTTATGTCAGTGAGAAGTACTATACTGAATAGACTCCAATTCTGTTTCACTAATCCCCAATGTGATGGTCTTTGGAGGTGGGACCTTTGGGAGATAATTAGATTTTGATGAGCTCATGAGGGTGGAGTCCCCATGATGGGATTAGTGCCCTTATAAGAAGAGACACAAGATGTCTATCTGTCCATCCATCCATCCATCCATTCATTCCCCCTTTCCTTAGCCATGTAAGGATACATCAAGAAAGCAGCCATGTGCAAACTAGGAAGAGGGCTGTCGACAGAACCCAAGCATGCCGGCAGCCTGATCTCAGACTTTTCAGCCTCCTGAACTGTGAGAAATAAAATGTCTATTGTTTAAGCCACCCAATCTAAAGTATTTTATTATAGCAGCCCTAGCAGACTCCAGTAATGCTGCTCTTGTTTCTTTGAAAGGTCAGCTTCATGATAGATTAAATTGTGATTACTTCAGGCATATCTACTATTTTAAGCAAGATATACTTACATTCACTTATGACTTTATTTAAAAATATTTTTAAAACTCCACAATAATAGGATTTCCTCAGTAAGATTTGCTTCCTAGTGTTTTTCTAACCTTTATCAAACATAATAGCATATTCTTACTATGAGAGAGAAAGTAGTTTTATCATTACCCTACCGAGATTGATTTAACCGATCAGATCCAAAATGGGAAAAGCATGAGGTCAAACTTTTAAAATTGGGCTAGCTTTCTGAGTTATAAGAGCATTTTTGCTTTCTTCTACTTTCTCAACAAGAGCAGGGAGTCAGGAAAGAGAAATGCAAGAAGGCAAAAAAGAAAATAAAGTTCACACAGGAGAACAATAGGGGTGGAGAAAAACAATTAAAAAGAGACTGAACAGAGGCAATGTAACACTAGGAGCTGAGACATTGTTACAAAGGAAAGCAGGCTTTTAGCCTAAGTGTCTTTTAAAAACGGACCTCAATTGAGAAAATAACCCCAATTGAGGGTGAGATAAGGTGCATAGACATTTCTCCTAAAACTATGATTGAGTCACCATTATTGATTCTACCACGCTATTTTATGGTATCATATTATGCCTGTAAGTCTTAATTCATAATTAGAAATATACTTTTTGTCTTGGCTCAAATGCCTTTTCTGCTTCACTTCTCTCAAAAAGACACTCTAGACTACTCACGAGATTTGCCCCTTTCAGGCCTGGTTCAATTTCCCCTATCTTTGCTGATGGAATAATGAAATGTAGGGAACAGAAGCCACAGTCAATAAATCAGCCTTCAAATATGCTTTCAGTGTTCAATATTGGGGGAGGGCAAGACAGTAGCTATTCAGTGGTATGTCTATACGCGGGATGTTCCAGGTAGATGCGTCATGTCTATAACTGCCCATGTCTCTGTCCGGTGCAAACGTAGGTACAGCTCCTCCGTGCGCACGAGCGACTGAGAAGCATTTCCCGGAGGCCCAGATCTGGGGCTCCCGGCGTCCCTACTTCCGGCCCCGCCCCCGCCCCCGCGGTTGCTAGGAGACGTGATGTCACCGGAAGCGTGGTCTGTGATAGGCTGAGGGGAAAGGAAGCCTCTCCCCCTCCAGGAGCCCAGCGCCGGGCGCTGGCTCTCCAGCTGTTTGTAGGCCTGGGGGCGAGGGTCCGCGCTAGGTAGAGCCGGCTGCGGACCCGCCCGCCCACTCGCCGGTCGGGCCGCGGGCTCCCGCCACCCCCGCGCTCCCGCTGCGGCCGGCCGCTTGGCTGGCGGCTCCGGAGCGGCTGCACGCGCTTCTGACTGACGGCCACTGTTGCCCACAGCACGCGCTGCCGGCCACGTCCCGGGGTTCGGCCGACGGCACTGCGTGGCGGGTGACCTTTCCGAGCCCGGCGCGATGACGACTCCTTGCTCTCGGCTGGGGCGGCTTCCTCGACGCCGCCAGCTGGGGCTCGTGCAGTTCCCGCCGCCGCCGCGGCTGTGGCTGCAGCTGCTGCTGCTGCTGGCGGCCGCGGGGCCGGCGCGCGGCTGGGAGAGCGGAGACCTGGAGTTGTTTGACTTGGTGGAGGAGGTGCAGCTCAACTTCTACCAGTTTCTCGGGGTGCAGCAGGTAAGCGCGGAGACGCGCGGGTCCGGGCGGACAGGGAGGGCGGGCTTTGACCCGTTTCGTCCGAGGGAGCCGGGCACAGAGGGCAGGACTTGGTCACAGCGGGCTCCGGCTGCCCTCCTCAGCCCGGTGCACCAGGGTGTCCTCATAACCCCAGGCTCTAAAGGACTTGTCCAGCTTCCCCGGTTCCTCACCCCTGCTCCAACTTCTCTAGTTCCAGTCCCAGTGACAGGCTGGACGGGGCCACCAGTATAGGGTGGTTCTACCTTCTCTATGCTCTGGCATTCTGGGGACGATCCTCCCCGCCCCCCAGCTGTGCTGGAGGAAGAAGAGACTTTTTTTTTTTTTTTTTACACCTATGCTTTGCTTTCCTGCCCCCCAGAATGTGAGAAAGAGCAGCCATGTCTCACCCTAAATTGTCATCTTCCCTCTTAGACTTATTCGGATCCCAGCTGCTTTCTTTCTTTCTGGGAAGATAGGAATGCATTATCTAACGTCTGTGTTGTAGAAGTTTTTCTTACATTGTACTTTGTAATCTGTTTAGCCTGTTAGATAGGGGTTTGTATCCCAGTTTAAGAAATCTGGAGAAATTTGAAGCTTGTACCAGTTTGGTCCTGGAACTTATAGGAGGAGCTGTTAAGTTTTTTGGGCAGTAGAGGTACTCGTGCTATTGGAAGAGGCCCAACCAGTAGCGCAGGGTCGTCTTTTCTTTTTCTTTTCTTTCCCTTTCGTTTCCCCCCCCCTTTTTTTAGTTCGAGACATTAAATTATAAAATTAGATTGTTGCTTTTTATTTCTATCGTTGAGGGTTATTATGTTAGGGTAGATATTCTGTCTCTACCTGAAACCTAGTGCCAAGATGACATTTCACTGAATTCAGGATTATAGGGTGAAAGACTTAGAATTTCACACGATCTGATTGAGCCCTTCATACAATGCTTTGAATAGTTATTGGGTTAAAAAAAATGAACATTTATCAATAGTTGCCATTCCAGGCACACTTCACATGACTAAATATGAAATGCTCATTTTCCCCCCATAGGTTATCATAAATTTGGGTGAACTATTGAACTGAAATTTAATTTTCAAACATGGCATTTTCATTCCATTA